CATGTAACAAAAAATTTTCACCCAATACTTCTGCACTTGTTTGGGTTTTATTAAAATTAACTTTTAGGAAAAAAAATGTATTTTGGAATAGTATTTTTTTTTGTAGAATATGTAATAAAAAAATAATGAAATTTTTTAAATTTACGTACAATATTATTTTGTTGAATAGAATATGTGATTAAAAAATAATGAAATTTTTTAAATTTATGTACAATATTATTTTGTTGAAAAATGTATAGTTGAAAAGAAGAAGAAAAAATGTATTAAAATTTTAATGGAGTTCAAACAAAGCCACAAGTGTGTAGCCTTATGAGCGAATATGTATTCTAATATTGTTTTAGCATTTGTTTGGTTAACATAAAAATTAGGTTTTTAGTAAATTTTGATAAAAATAGATGAAATGCATGATTGAAAAGTTATAGGTCTCATGAAATGTGTGCTTAAAATTAATTATTAAGAAAGTGTTTGGCTAAGCTTAAAATTCAATTAAAATTGAAAATATAGTCATTATTGGATCTCACTCGTCTAATAAAAGTCAACAATAACGGCTATTTTTTCAATTTTAATCCGATTTTAATCTCTACCGAATACGTCCTGATTTTAATTTAATTATTAATCCAATTTTTTAACTGAACTAGATTCGACTTAGATTATTAAAGAAATAAATATTTTGTCCGCAAAGACCGTAGCTCAAGCATTTAGTGGTATGAAGATTTTTTTTTTTTTTTCAAAAAATGATTTTTCTATCTATTTCACCTATGGTGATACGTTCACTTGATATTCTTATATAGCAAATCGAAACGTTTTATTAATAAGTGACTTTTTTTTTTGGCATGATTGAAACGTTAGAAAGTATTATGTTAAAAAAATTGCATGATTGAAACGTTAGAATGTATTATGTTAAAAAAAAAAAGTTGAGGATAGATTTGTTATATTTTGCAAATGTTGAGAAAAATGCAAATTCCCTCTAAAATAACAATAGTTCTGAGCCTAATTTCCTCAAAATGTAACTAAAGTTAGACATGGTCCGATTTGCTTCGACTCTAAAGAGAATCGAAACGAACCAAATTTTTTGAGTATTTAATAAATAGAACTGATGTATCTAAATTTAATTCTTGAACCGTACCAATTCAATTCCATTCGATTCCATATTATAATTGAATTTTTTAATATTTACAACAATACTACATTAATCCAACTAATAACATGTTTAATCTTAACTCTTACGACAACATTACTTAACTCTAACAAAATAATGTAATCCAACTTAAAAATATACAAATAACAATGAATATCTTGAACACTAGTTATAAATAATAGTGTTTATATATTAAAGCGTGATAAATTATTTGAAAGGACTTCTGAGAGAGAAGAAAACACACAAATGCACGAGCTTACAATAAACATCTTGAATGCTAGTTATAAATTATAATATTTATACATTGAAGTATGAACAATTATTAAAAAGGAATGGAATAACACCTACCTCAATCAAAGTTGATGAAATTCAATGGGTAGAACGGAAAAATAGTAAGATGAAGAGATGCGCAGTCGCTTAACTTCGATTATTTGAGAAATGATAGAATGAATGAGAAAAGTTTAGGTCATTCATTTTTGATTTTTTGAAATTTGAATTATAAAGTTGGACTTAGGCAATATAGACATTAAAAAAGTGGAAATTACATAAAATCGGGTCTTTAATTTGACCTTTTTAAAGAGCAAGTTTGGGCTTTATTTTTTCATTTTTCATTTTTCAGGTTTTTATCATTTTAATTAAACAATTAATCTTTTAAAATCCTAATTTATCAATTCATCACCCCTCGTCTCTCTCTCCTTACCCTCTCTCCTCTCGTTTCTCTCTCCGTCTCTCAGAATTGTCCAGACGCACCGTTCGATACCGTCGTTCACGGAACGGCAGTGTCGTGACGTTGTTGTGAACGACGACGCTGTTGAAATCGCCAACCAGAAGCATTCGGGTGGAACATCCTCTCCCTTCAGCCGTTTTCCGATGCCTCCGTCCACTACAACAGTTGCCGTTCACCACAGTCGAACGTCCACTGTTGTGGGTGTGCGATAGAGGTGTTGTGGGTGTGCAGTGCGGTGTTGTGTGTGTGCTGTGGTCTTCGACTCAGTGATGTGGGGTGGAGAACTTCGATGATCTGGGGTGGAGGTTTTCGATGATGTGTGTGCGATGGAGGTCTTAGATGCAGTGGATGTCTTAGATGAGGTGCGCGCGCGCTTTGCTCTTGCTCGAAGATTTTTAGAGTGACCTGGTGGTTTTCATGCTGATGTGATTTTCAGTAGTAGCGGAGTGGTTGTGGCTGTGGCGGTTGTGAAGGCGGAGGAGTGGGCTGTGGGCGCTTTTCTATTGGAGATGTTTGGCATTTGTGACCTATAAAATAGATAATATGCAAGTGATTGGTGTTGGAAGTGGTTGTCAATGGCGTTGTTGGTATTTTGTGGCTGTGGCGACGTGGTGAGGGTGGTCGAAAGTGGCCATAGTGGTAGTGACGGTAGTTTGTGATCAAATGTTTAGTAATCTGTAACCAAATATTTGATAATTTGTGACTAATTATTTAACCGTGACCTAAAAATTTAATAATATGTGAGTTAAAAATAATCTTTGACCAACTAATTTAAAAATTTGTGATTTCGAAATAATCAGTGACGTACAAAATTTTTGATATGTGATCACGAAATAATCTGTGATCAATTAATTTTAAAATATGTGACATGTGACATATAATTATGTATATGTGACCATTAATTATATAACTATGATTTTATTATATTTTATTAATAAGTATTTTTAATTAATTAACAAAAACCTGATTTTTGCATTAGTCAAACTTAAAACCTGATTTTTGAATTGTGTATAGTTAATCCCTGACTTTTGAACTCTTCCCCTAAAAAAATATATAATAATAATTAATGTATTGGGTTGATTTCAAATAACTAGCCCACTTAAGGCAACTAAAACTAAGTCTTGTAGAATCCACATAAAAGAAGCTCATGAAAGACGTCCATCCTACTTTTAAAATTCAATAAAATAAATCAAATAAAATCAAACAATGGGTGGTTACATAGTGGTTACCATTTTCTCTATAAATAGGGCCAAAGGTTCATAAAAAAATAACAAGTGAAAAGTTGCAGAAAAATTCACAAGTACAGAAGAAATCCAAAAGTCAGTGGAAGAGAAGAAACTCTCTCAAGTCAGTCCAGAAATAACAAGAAGATCAAAGTCTTCTTCAAATTCAAGTAAATCCAAGTAGTCTAAGTCTTCTTCAAACAAAATCAAATTCAAGTCCAAGTCTCGAAATTCAAATCCAAGTGTCAAACAAGTCAAATTCTACCCGAGTCAAGTTTTCAACAAATCTTGAAGTCCAAGATTCAAGCCACATGATCCCTCGTCTTCAAATATTCATATCATCAATCAGAGGATTGTGCACTTGTTGCAGTCGCAAGAACAATATTCATTTGTATTTATCAAAATACAATTTGTAACAATTTCTATATTTTAATATACGAAATTTGTCGTACATGCATATATTGAACACTAGTTATAAGTAGTAATGTTTTATATATTATTGAAGCGTGATAATTAATTAGAAAGGAAAGTAGCTCTTGAGAGAGAGGAAAACATAAAAACACGTGAGCTCACGATAAATATCTTGAATACAAGCTATAAATTATAATATTTATATATTAAAGCGTGAAAAATTATTTGATCAAAGTGGAGAAAATTCAATGAATATTGTAGAAAAATAGTAAGATGAAATGTACAGCCACTCAATTTCATTTATTTGAGAAATGATAGAATGATTGATAAAAACTTAGGTCACTCAATTTTGTTTCTTTGAAATTTAAATTACGAAGTTGGGCTTACGTTGAAAATACGAAAATGATTTTTGGACTCAAATAATTAGTTTACAAATGAAACAGAAGAATGATATTTTGGACTCAATTAATTAGTTGACAATATTATTTTGAAAAAATTAAAATATTAATTTAAAAAATTAGGGAGATCTAGTTCTTGTTCTAGAAAAGAGAATCAAACCAAATTCGTCGGTTTTCGATT